GACCCGTCCTTAGAGCAAAGAACCCAGTCATTGTTACTGGGAGGAAAACATGCCACCCAGGGAGGCTGAATCAGCAGCTCTAGGTATCTTGAGATTTGTGCAAGAAGCAAGAATCCTAAACTTCCCAGATTCTCTACAGGCCTCTGGGGTCCCAAGGCCCTTCTTGCAGCTGTGGCAAGTTTGAGACAAGTGAAAGCAGATTACCCCAACCTCTTGGGATTACTGAAACTGAAGTGTGAATCTTTCTGAGCTTCCTGATCAAAGTTTTAAGAATGGACAGTGAGGTGCAAATATAGTTCCCCCTTTTGTTGTTGTTCAGTCACTCAGTCGTGTCTGACTCTTTGCAACCCCATGGACTACAGCACGACAGGCTTCCCTGTCCTTCACTATCTCCCAGAGTTTGCTCAGACTCATGTCCATTGAGTCAATGATGCCATCCAACCAGCTCATCCTCTGTCACCCCCATCTCCTCCTGCCCTCAATCTTTCCCAGCATCAGGGTCTTTTCCAATGAGTTGGAAGCCCACTAGGCTCCTCTGTCCATGGAATTTCCCAGGCAAGAATACTGGAGTGGGTTGCCATTTCCTCCTCCAATGGATCTTCCCAACCCAGGGATCAAACCTAAGTCTCCTGCACTGGCAGGCAGATTCCTTACCACTGAGCCACTTGGGATGCCCTAGTGTCCCCTTTGGAGGGAAAGAAATGGAAGTAAGGAATTAGATTGAATAGGAGTCTAGTGATAAGAAAGCAAACCAGAGAAAAGCACATATCTTGAGTAAGTGGTTCCACCTTTTCTGAAATTCTGAGCTGAGGGTAAAAAAAGAAAAAGAAAAATGTTTGCATGCCCCAGGAGTATTTGCAAATCCAGGCCACTAGCTAGTCTATTTCAACCCCCTCAGCTTGTTGTACCCACTGTTCTCACAGATCCCATTTATCCTCCAGAAGAGAGGACAAAGAGGAAGTCATAAACCCTCTCTCAAATGATGCTTTTAAAAGGACTCTTTGAGAAGATTCCATAATGACCTGTTGTCCCTTAATCTATGGCTCGGTTCTGGTACTGGATTTTGAAAGTATAAATGTGATTAAAGATTGCTTGGTTTGGCACTGAACTCATTGGCAACCTTGGTTCTTCACATTTGTCTTTGAAATAACAGCTTCACTGTGCAGAGAGCTGGTGGCTTCCCAGGTGGGAGGGCATAGGTGTTGGGTATCTTACATACTCCATGAGTAGTGGAGTGGGGATCTGGTAGATGAAGGGTAGGGTGGATTAAGCTATTTCTGGAATTTTGCTTTGCATTTTCTTGCTACCATTTTTGTTGTTTCCTTTACAGATCAGTCAGCTAGTTTTCCTGGGTCCTGGTTTGGTATGAGTTTTGAAAACCTGGAGGCACTGTGTCCTCAACCCCATCATCAGAAGGTGACTGGGAGATGTCAACACCACCTTGTGGTCATGCTTAGCAAGTTTCCCTCCTCCAGTTGAAAGTGAAAGTCACTCACTAGTGTTTGACTTTTTGTGACCCCATGTACTCTTGCCTGCAAAATCCCGTGGACGGAGGAGCCTGGTGGGCTGCAGTCCATGGGGTCACTAAGAGTTGGACACGACTTCACTTTCACTTTCATGCACTGGAGAAGGAAATGGAAACCCACTCCAGTGTTCTTGCCTGGAGAATACCAGGGACGGGGGAGCTTGGTGGGCTGCCGTCTATGGGGTCGCACAGAGTCGGACACGACTGAAGTGACTTAGCAGCAGCAGCAGCAGAACTTACTATACAGTCCATGGAATTCTCCAGGCCAGAATACTGGAGTGGGGAGCCTTTTCCTTCTCCAGGGGATCTTCCCAACCCAGGGATCGAACCCAGGTCTTCTGCATTGCAGCTGAACCACAAGGGAGTCCAAAAGCCGGCAGGAGTTTTCCACAAATTTGTTGTCTCTTCCCTACCTCTGCTCCTTCACCGTCCAGAAATAAACCTGGAAGAAGTGTTTACTGTGTTCGAAATTATCTGATGGGGAGATGCAAGAAGAAGAAACTGTTTGGGTCTCGGGTCTAGGTGGTGAGCCTATTGAGGTCACTGGTAGGGTGTTTTCTTCTTTTTTATAAGCACATATCCTGATGTGTCTGCCGTTAAACTGCTTCTGAGCAGAGTCCACCGCTATTCCTTCTGAGTCCCTTGAAGGAAACTGTGGTGTGTGAGGGTGAGCTCTTTCTGACTATTGTTTCCTGGATCCATCTTTGGGGAGGGCACAGATGCTTGGAGGAATAGGATAAGCAGGAATCCATGAGTCATGTTATGAAGTTTTGAGTCCAGTTGATCATGGGCCTTGGGGAGATACTGAGGTACAGTGTCTCTTAAAAATAGTGAAAACTTGTGAGAAAATCACTCTACCTAATAAAAGGAATCTATAAATCCTTTTTATAGAAAGTTAGGTGAGCTAGTCTTTGAAGTTCCTTTCTTTGCTTTGAAATTCTTTAACAGGAATCTAGGCAATGCTGCTGATACTATTTATAAAAATGTTCCATAGGGTAAAATTGTTCCAGTAGAAGACAGATTTTGGTTCCCATTGATGTTTCTTGGCTTTCACCTGAATTGACAACATGAGGACCTATCATCTTTTCCCATCTCAGTTCCCTCGATGAGGTGGGCTGTACTCGTATCACCCAGGACCCTGGGTTCTGCTTTTATGGACAAAATGAATCCAGCCACTTCCTTGGCAGTCTTTTCTGCAATGTTTTCGTGTGTATGTGTGTGTGTGGCTGTGTTATGTACATGTGTGTATGTTTTACTGATGACTTCGGAATCAGATTTTCTTTTTCTGTCTCTTTCATAAAGCAGGGCTTCTAGTGAATTTTCATTACTTTGTTGTGCTTGCTCACCAATGCCAATTTTCATGTTCAGATCAGAGACTAGCCTTACTGACCATCAGAACTGACAGGGAAGTTTGAAGCCTTTCTAGTCTCATCCAACCAGATAAGGAAACTGAAGCCCCAAGAGGTGAAACAATCTTCCTGAAGTCATAGCGCCAAAACACAGCAGAGCCCACCCCTGAGACCCCAGGTTCCGCATTCAACAAGCTTCCTGCTGTTCATTGGGCTCCCACTCTCTAGCTAAATCTTAATTATCGGGTTTCTTGAAAGGATTGTTTCTGTTTCTTCTTCCTTCCCCCTAGTTTTTTGAAGCCCATGGTGAACTGAGAAATGGGAATGTCACCTCCATTTCCACCCCTGGTCTGGCAGTCACACCCACACCATGGCAGTGAACAAGACCTTGAAGATCTACTAAAGGGAGAGGGCAAGGGGCGACTGACTGACTCCATCCTCGTTACATCAGAAACGTGGTTGTCAGCCTGGGGGACTGTCCTTCCCTGCTTAACATAGCTCAGTTACACTGTGCATGTTTCCATTAGAAAATTGCCAACTCTCAGGCTCATCCAGTGATTGGCTGGGAAAGACCCAGGATGCCTCAGTTTGACTAAAGGTGGATATTACAAAACAACCAAACCTGAGGCCTTAAGGAAAAATTGAGAGGAGGAAACAAGTGGCTGGGGAGACTGGGAATGAATTTTGGCAGACACCACAGGAATGCTTGTAGCTGACATTTGGTTGGAGAAGTTGAAGGGTCATGGCTTTAGAGCCTCCAGGTCTCTTGGGTGTAAAAATCAAATCATGCTAGCGAAGAGAGCACGTCTCATAAAAGGGGAGGTAGGCCCATACTTCTCCCCTATTCACCTTTGGATTTCTAGATGTAATTTCCTCTGGCACTTTTCATTTTTCCTCTCAAAGGCAGAATAATAAAAGAAGATGGAGAAAGGCTTCTTGTGAGCTCACCTCATTAAGGAGGTCATTCCTGTTTCTCACTGGACCAAAAGAAAGAGGAGAAAACTGAAACCCAAACCCTGAAATTCCACCTCTTCCCAGAGATTATCAGTCAGGGGAATGGCTGGCTGGTCATATAACTTCTCCTGACTCTTATTAAGCCGCTTGCCCTAAGAAGAGCTTGGCTGAAATGAGAGCCTCAGAATTGAGGCTTTAGTTTGCAATTCAGGAAAAAGAATCCATGACAAATAGGACCAGAATTAGAGAAAATGGAGCTAGGTGGGATCTATGTTCCCCACGGAACCTGTGATCTCAATGACAGGTTCCGAGGGGAACCCAGACCTGTTTCTTCTGCCTTTTCCTCAGTGCCTGACCCCAAAGTGCTATGAACCATAACTCTCTCCACCTCCTAGCTTCAAAGAAAGTTGACCTGAGGGAGGGGGCAGGGACTTATGACCCTTGGGCACATGGCCACTGTGCAGCCCAGGCCAGGTGTAAGCAACACCTTGGGAACTAGAATCCAAAACAGTGGCTGGGCTTGTGAGGCCACAGGGGATCTTAAGGTAGGATGGAAGTGGGCAAAGGATGGGTTGGCTGGAAAATAGGCCCCTCCTCTTGAAAGGTGACAGAGGACACTTGGCTGGTAAGACTAAGAATGTTCAGTGAGAATCTTTGGCCCATTACAAAGGACTTGGGTTGTTGGGACAGGGTGAGGTTAAAACATTTCCTTTTAAGGGGACTTGTTGGCAAAGCTCTCTTGCTGGGGCTTCTTCTTGGGACTGGTGTGAGAACCCAGCCACCGAAGGCAGTGACCAGAGCTCGGTTCCTGGAAGTTAAGGGCATCTCAGAAGGAGGGCAGGAAAGAAGGCACGTGCCTGTCACCGATCTCACTCCACGATCTAGTTTTGAGTTGGTCTTTTAAGAAAATGTCTCACTCTTCCTCCTTGGTGGGAAAAGAGGGGATGGTTAGGGATGGCTGGGTAGGAGGGAGCATGGAGACTGAGGGGCAGGCCCGGAGGCAGCAGAAACCATGAGCTGCTGATTCTCAACTGGTTCCTGCTACATCCTGCTTCCTTCAAACACTCTTAACATGTTGCAAAGCACATTACTATGTCCCCCACCCCTTGTTTCATATTATAAAGTACAAACAAATGACAGAAAAGGTCAGTTGGCTCTCAGCCGCCCACTGCTTAGAACTGCAAGGACCGCCGTTTCCTCCCTGCCACGAGACGGTGGCTGTATGGGCGCATCTTCATCTCCACGAAGGGGATAGAGAACTCATGGCCTTTCCAGTGGTACCAGTTGATCCCCTGGGAAGGAGAAAGATGAGCATGTCAGATCACCTTTCCCCACTTAAGGGAACTCCCAGGCTGAAAAGAAAGAGGGTGCTGGCTGAGAGTGGGGAATCCAAGATGAACATTTAGCCCTTTTCCATTAACATGAAGCTTTGTGGCTGAGTTCCCTCCCCCTACAAAAAGGGCAAAAAACCCAGAGATTTTTGTTTTTCTAGCTTTTCTCTTTAGGCATGCTTGTGGTCTGGGCCTATATTAGGAATGTGTAGCAGGTCTTTCCTTATCACTGGCTTTCTGGTTTGGGCTTTCAGGATTTGCATGCACCAGTAAATTTGAATTTCAGATTCCCAACAGTATAGAAGCATGCTGAAGAGCATAACTGCTTTTGACGGCCCACTCCTGATGGGAGCGTTAAGTGGTTTCCATCTATCAGGTAACCAGCCATCTTGGTTTGCCCAGGACTAAGGGGTGCCCCTGGCTGCTAGCCTTTCCTGTGCTAAAACTGGAGAGGTCCCAGTTGGCCACCCTACCACCCAACCCAGCCGATGGGTACGTGGTCTCCAGTGGGGAGACACGGTGTCATTGATACTGCTATTCCTGCTTTCTCCCTTCCTAGGATACTTCTTTGGATGAAGCTGGGCCTGTGAAGTGGTCCCTGAACTTGAGAAGCTCTTCACGGGATATCCTAGAGGAGGAAATGAAATGGGACTTGACTTTTCGTCAAGGTTTCTCTGGGTGAGTTCTAGCTCCCGAGTCCAGGTGTGTTCCCCATTTCTTCCTCTGGCTTTGACTCTGCACTGCTCTTATCTCAGTGTCTGCATTATTTCCCTCTTTATAATAGTCCGTTCTCAACACTCTGAGTGTATTTTTTTAAAGGGAAATGCAAGGCCCACCTGTGCACTTCGAACGTGAAGCTAAGGCACGTGGGCTGCATGGCTCATCTATGCAGCGGCAGAGTTTCACCCACCTGACTGTGCCTGGACTCGCCGTATTTCCCGTTGAGGTTGGTCCGGTGGCAGTTCTTATACCACCAGGCCCCCTTGTATGACATGGCACAGTTGGTAACTGCTATGTCATTGTCTCTGTCCTCCGTGGAGAATGGGCGGCCCTGATGGTAGCTGAGAGAGTCCCCTGGGGGAAAAAAAACACATCCTTGAAGCTGTTCAATCTGTCATTCTTTTGTCACAACGTTCTGGACATTTGACCCAGGCCCAACAAACCTGGCGTCTGCTTAAGAGACCTTCCGCTTACCTCTCTGTGTCTATTCAGCTTCAGCCTGGCTATACTGAGCTCTTTCTCCACGAACGCCTGGGGTCCACTACATCTGTGCTGCTCTCTCCAACTCAGTTCCTCATTCCCCTGACCTTCTGCTCAGAACTCTGTCCATTCAGCTCCACCTCACCATTCCTGTCTGTTTCCACCAGGCCAGCATTGGGACACAGGCATGGCTGGCTCCTGTGTCTCAGAGGAGGCAGTGATGAGTCATGCCACCCTGGCTAATCCGGGTCACCACCATGCAGCCTGGCTTTCCCCATGGCTCATCAGGCCTTGGTCATATCCAGTATCCCCTTGTTCAGAACTAGGGTCCATGTGTGAAGAGGGGCATTAGCTAACTGGAGTTTCTGTCCATAGGAAGCAAGATGATAAGAAAATCCTAACCATGTTAGAGGAGAAGTGATTGGGAAAACCAGGGCTGTATCTTGGGGAAAAGCAGACTTGCAAGGGGAGACAAGGTTCTAGATCACCGACTCCAAATATTTGATGGGTTATTTAGTAAACAAAGAACTCCCCCAAACAGACACTCTTTGGAGAAGTATGAGGATCAGTAGGTAGAGACTGTGAAGTGGCGTATTTTGGCTCAATGTGTGAGGAGGAATCACCTAAATATTAGCGCTGTTGATAAATGGGATAGACTAGTTGGAAATATGGGGAGATCTCTTATTTTTAGAAGCTGGAGATTTTCTTGTTGGGATGTTGTGCAGGCCACTTATATGAACTGAGTGTTTGAAGTGAGGTATCAGACTGTAATTAATTTATAACTATTGGCCAAACCTCTGGCAGAATTTGTGGTTAGAGATGTTGTGAAGGGGTTCATGGTATTGAATGACTATTGTCGTAGATGCATCCAAGGTCACTTTAAGCCAGGGGAACTCATTGCTCTGATCCTGTGGCTTCCTGAGTCCACACTCACAGTAGCCACTCAATGCCTCCAAGTGCTTCTGGTCACAATTTAATTCTTAGGAGGATGGTCTTTCTTTTATAGGGAAGCCTGGTCCATTCAGGCCAGCTTTGTCCCTAAGTACATATGTCGTTATTTCTATCCCATCCTTTTTATCTCCCTCTCTCAGTCTCTAAACAAACCAGGCTTTGTCGCCACTCAGAGATGATCCCACCGACCTGCAACTCATTCTTTCCCATCTCTTCCAGGTCCTGGAGAAAGCAGAAAAGAGTTCTTACTTTTCCTTTTTTTAATATAGGTACAGATAGAGATAGATATATATTGATATTTTAGCATTTTCATCTCTTCTTACCCTAACTCATACTCAATCCCTGTGTCTTAAAAAAATCCTGACTTAATCCTACTTTCTAGAGACTCTTTCTTTACCATCAGTCCCCTGACTATGTTGTCTCTACCCATGTTTCTATCTTCTCATCTCCTGCTTATCTCTCTAACCTAGAAGCTGCCCTCCCTGGGAACTATTCCCTCCTCACTCCCTGGGAACTATTCTCTCCTGTTTCCACTTTGGATGTTGCCTGCTGCTGTCTCAGATATGATCCTGATGTTGGTCTTTGTCTCCTCCCCAGATCTGGCCCCCTTCCCATTCCTGCTTCATAAATCCACCTCATACGTTCAGTCCATCATCTAAGACTTGGTTTTTCTCTCTCAAACTGCTGTTCAGATTTATACTTTTCTCTCAACTCCTAAGAGCAGTCAAGGCTCCTGTGATCTCCTACCAAGATTAATGCAGCAGGTCCAGCTGGCCTCTGTTCTTCACTCAGGTTTACTTTATCCTATTTACGGATCTTCCTAAAGCTCCACGTCCACTGTGTCACTTAGGACCCACCATGGCTCCCCACTGCCCACCGTTTTAGGATGGAACTCCTCTGTCCCCTTGGCTTCAAGGCCCTTCAGGGTCTGACTCCACCTTACTCCACCTGGTTCCTTTCTGTTCTCTCTGAACTCACACCCTGTCCTGGGCAGCCAGGTCCTCTGCACTTGCCCTCCCTCCACACTAACTGCTCCTTCTGTGACTTCTCCCCCAGGATTTTCTTTCCCTGGAATGTTTGCCTTCCCCTTGGGATCCCAGCCAAATGCTGCTGCTTTCATGAAGCCTTCTTCAACTTCCCAGACCCCCCTTCTCTGAATGCAGGTTAAACTGGAAGTGAGTACCATTCATTTTGTGGTGAGTTGCTTCCACACTGTTTCTTTTTCAGATGGAAGTTTAGTTCTTGCAGAGGTCATGCCTTATGCTCCTTATGAGTCCTCACAATTCGCATGATGAACTTTTAGAGGTTTCTCAACAACCTTTTAGCCATAATTTGACTTGTAATGTTCAGCTCCAATTCAATTAAGAGTCCTGGTTAGAGACTTGGATTTTTGCAGACTTGAGAACAATGGAGATGGGAGAAGGGACTGAACTTGGCATTGAAGGCCACAGAGGCCACTGTTCTAGTGGGGCCAATAAAGATGAGCAACATGCAAGATAAAGGCCAGGGGACTTGGGCAATAGTAAATGCCAGAGAGAGGATGGCTCCTCCTCCCTGGAGACCTTCCAGTCTGGAAAGAACCACCATTGTGTGAAGTTGTTCAGAGAAGGGGCCTACATAAGCCTAGCCTCTCATCGTTTGAAGAAGATGAACTGAATATTTGACCTAAGAGGTCAGATCGCAATTCATTTTTGATGATTGGCCAAACTGTTGGTGGGACTTGCCTCTGAAACGTGACAGTAGGGCATAGTCCAACAGCTGTGAGCTCCATGGGGCCCAGCAGTGAGACAGAGCTACACAGAGACTGCAGAAGGAGGGCCCGAGTTCGACAGGTAAGAGCGCAGTCTGGGGCGGCTGAGGAGGAGGGAGGCGGGTCAGCCATGTGAGCAAGTGGGAGGGCTGCTCGTCTTTCTGTGGGAGAAATAAGAGCAGATTTCTGCAGGCACGATTCTAATCTTGGGGAGTGGTTGGTATCAGGTTATTTCTGAAATGACTTGGTCCGACATTTTGTGTCATATACTCCATTTCAAATGACTATTTTACATCCAAAGTGTGGGAAAATTGGATCTTTTATTGGGGCACTTCGGGCACGTCTGATTGCCCTGGGGAATGATCTCTCATGTGAAAAACAACAGGGGGAAGCATGTCTTCTCTTTGGAGTAATGACACCTGGTTGAGCAGAGAAATGACTGAGCAGATGCAGTCGTGGGAGAGGCAACGCTTTGATGATCTTCTTAATTCCAAGAGTCTTAAAAATGTTGCTAAATTTATACCCTAGCATTTAGCCATATAATTGGAGTTAATGAAAAGACCAATAACTCCATGTACCAAATAGTGGAATATGTGGCAAAACAGGTTTTAGGATATGTACTAGAAGGGAACCTAGGAAATAGATTGGCAGAGCCTAAGAATCAGACTGGGATATGATGTCCTGATAAAACTCTTAATGCAACAGAGCTTATAGAGATGGTTGTTGTACTTAGTGAAAGTGTCATAAAATCTACAGAAAATGTGACCATGTATGGGTTCTTGTGGAGGACTGAAAAGAGGTGGCCCGTGGGGGGACATGTAGCACTGTTGTTTGTTCCCTGATGGAGGTGTGATGAAGACTGCTGATAGAGGGGGGGACAGCTCAGAATGGGGCATCTGTCTTATTTTCATTAGTTCAAAGATGATTTTCCTAGCTGTCATTGCAGGGGAGATTTCTATCCAGACAATAGATGATTATGCTTTCACGGGATGAGAGCCCATATTGACTAATCTAGACAAGAAAATAATCCTTCACCCTCACATGGTAGTTCTTTTTTAACTTCAAAAAGCACTTTCACTCTATTTATCACATTATTTTCTGTCCGCTCTGTGAACTAGGGCAGGCATCATTATTAAGATTTTCCAGATGAGGAAACTGAAGTGCTTGAGAAATTGATTGCAGGTCACCTGAGTGATGAGGAGCTTGCGTGCATGCGAAGTCCCTTCAGTCATGTCTGACTCTTAGCAACCTCATGGACTGGAACCCGTCAGGTTCCTCTGTCCATGGGATTCTCCAGGCATGAACACTGGAATGCATCATCATGCCTTCCTCCAGGGGATGGTTTCAATCCAGGTGGGGGGCAGCCTGGACCAGAGCCAGTGCTTCCAGCCCGCCACCCTCCTCCTCGGCCAGCAGGGACTTCACCTCTGTGGGCGCTGCTGTGACTGCACAGAGCAGCTCAGGCCTAGAGTGTGGGGTCCTACTGCACGTCCACTACCCTTGGGCACTGATTGGGGGCCGGGGTACCTGCGGTGCCGTTGTAACCTCCCAGGCGGAGTTTGTACAGGCTTCTGCTGTCCTCAACAGAGAACCTGTCGTAGGAGGCGAAGGCGGCCTCCTGCCCGTCACGCATGTCCACACGCAGCTCGTAGCGGCCCTGGGACGTGATCCTGTGTATGTTGTCCAGCCCTGTGGAGAGGAGCCAAGAACGCAGTGAGCCTGGCTGCAGTGGCTTCAGACATGGGTGGCAGAAGGTGACTGTGGCCTCCAAACAGATGTTCTGGGAAAAAGGAGGAGTACTGGGATTGCTTTCGCGTTTAGCCCTTCCCAGGTGGTTATCAAACAGACCCTTGTTGTTGCTGTTTGTTGCTAGGTCATGTCTGACTCTGTGACCGCAGGGACTGTAGCCCTCCAGGCTCCTCTGTCCATGGGATTTCCCAGGCAAGAATACTGGAGTGGGTTGCCATTTCCTACTCCAGGGGATCTTCCCGACCCCAAGACTGAACCTGCATCTCCTGCACTGGCAGGTGGATTCCTTACCACTGAGCCACCAGGGAAGCCCAATCAGACCTTACCAGACCCCAAATTTCCTCCTGCACAAAAGCCACTTAGTTCTGCTGGTGAGTTCCCACTGCAGGTCAGCTCAGGGGTCCTGCCATCAAGTGTTGACCCAGTAATTAACAAGCCCTGAGCCATAGGATTCCTGGCCTAGTCCCCCTATCACCTCCCATTCCAAACCACAGTGTGGGTTGAAAATGATGAGCAGCATCATTGGGGTGTGACTCCTTTGGTGTGAGTGATAGGAAGCACGAGGTAGGAGCACTGATCAGGGGAACTCAGAGTGGACCCTCGGGGTCCAGAGGACCTGCACATCCTACCCAGTAGCCTGGGAGGGGGCTCCATCCACCTTTAATTACACTGCCCTTCCTGTTCTCTGCCTCAGCCCTCCTGAGACTCCCATAACCACGTCAGAGAACATTGTCCCCTGTCTCCTGACACCAGTTCCTGTCTCTCGGATCTACCTGTTATATCTTTGCACTGCCACCTCTGCACTCGTCTATCTGGTCAGTCACGCACCCTCCCCGCCAACCCCGGCCCCACACCCCTGGCCCTCCCGCCACTGTCTCCTTGGCCTCTAAGCTTCCTAGCCTTTGATCTATAGGTGCAAACCCCAGGAGTCCAGAGTTAGGCAGAGTACAGATCCTTTTTGGTGATATTTTCCCATGTGCATTCTCTTTTCTCTTTGCTCTGGCTGGCTGTGCTCTGGATCTTTCTGATTCTGACCTCCCTGCCCAGAATTTGAACTGCCTCCGCCCCCACATTGCTGGTGATCTTGGAGTCCTCCTGATTTCCACTTGCTTACTGAACTGGGGTCCTCTTGCTTTGCTGTGACATTTGATATCTATCAGAGTACACCATGATTTAGAATTGAAAAAATTGCAGATGGAAGGGAATTTAGAAATTACTTAGGCTAGTCTCTTTGTTTTGTTGAAAACGTGGCTGAAGTCCAGAGAGGTGACATGGCTGATGGCGGGTCACCTGGATCTTTCTGTTTGTTTCCCTGTCCTGTTTGAGAGTTAAAGCCTTATGTTAATTATATATTATATGTTATATAACTGTTTGCTGTTTGCCAGGTTACTGGTACCCTACACTTGGCTTGTGATGCGGTGGATCCTGGTGGTGCCCTGCCCAGATGCCCTTTAACTGGTCAGTGGACATAACCCCCAGTTGCTAACAGCTCATAGTTGCCTCCTTGGATTATTGCCCAAACAGGAGTTGCTTCACTCTGGAAGTTACGCTCTCCCTCCCCCATGCCTTGGGGCTGAGCCCTATCAATGCCTGATGTGGGAGGGGGGCTACCAAATCCCAGCCCCCTTACCTCACTGGGGACCAACTCTGAGGAGCAGTTCATGCTCTAGAGCTTCCCTGAGGATCAGACTGATGCTAAATCTCCCATCAAGATCACATTGTTAAACTTCTCCCTGCTCTATCCTGTTTCCCCCACCCACTTCTGAGAGTACTCGCCCAATAAATGAACTGAACAAGAATCCCAGTGTCAGACTTTGCTTCTTAGGGAACCCAGCTTACAACATAAACCATGGGTCAGAGTGTTACCCCTCACCTGAGTACTCACACTATACATCACCAGGCTGTGCTTCTACTTTAGAGCCCTCCCTGGCTCCCTCTTACGTATGGTGTTAATGCAAAACTTCCCTTCCCCACTTTAGGGACCATAACACACCTTCGTTCAACCCACCTTACCTCATTTTCTTCTTTCCCTGAGCTGCATCTTTGCTCTGATTGGATGGTTTATCATATTCCCGTGTGCTTATGTCAGCGGGATCCCTGCCTTCCCTCTTTTCTTGTCCTCCTCCCTCCTTCATCCCTCTTACTCACCTCTCAATGCCTTCGCTGACTTTTCCCTCTCTGAATATCTGTGGCCTAGTTCATAGATGAGTACAGTGTTTCTGAGTGTGAGAGGGCATCTCTGATGATATGAGAAGTAATTGGGGAATGTGCTTAGTCGTGTCCGACTCTTGGTGACCCCATGGACTGTAGCCCACCAGGTTCCTCTGTCCATGGGATATTCCTGGCAAGAATACTGGAGTGGGTTGCCATTTCCTCCTCCAGGGGATCTGCCTGATTTAGGGATCAAATCTGCATCTCCTGAACCTCCTGCATTGGCAGGTGGATTCTTTACCACTGAACCACCCGGGAAGACTTTTTTGGAGTAAGGAATGAATAACTTTAAACGTGTAGGGAGAAAAGTATTTCCAAATTCTGTCTCTCCATAGATGGAGGGGAAACCTTAACCCTGATTCTAACTGTTCCTTTCAGTCTGGATCTAGTACTTTGTGCATATTCACTGGAAGGACTGATATTGAAGCTGAAGCTCCAAACAACACTTTGGCCACCTGATGCAAAGAGCTGACTCATTGGAAAAGACCCTGATGCTGGGAAAGATTGATGCAGGAGGAGAAGGGGATGACAGAGGATGAGATGTTGGATGCCATCATCAACTCGATGGACATGAATTTGAGCAGACTCTGGGAGATAGTGAAGGACAGGGGAGCCTGGCGTGCTGCAGTTCATGAAGTTGCAAAGAATCAAATATGACTTAGCGACTGAACAGCAACAACAACAAAAACTTTGTGGTTTAACACTCAACACTTTCTAATCTCCATTTTTACACCACCAGCACCAGCAACAACTGGCATTTAATATTTTTGCTGTTTTCATTGCATTTATTTTTAAGATTCCCTTTTATTTATGGCACATGATGACTAGCTTTCTGTTTTTGGCAATGCTGTGATGTTTCTTTCTCAAAAGAATAGATTTCATTTTTAAAACATGATGCATAGGGACTTTCCTGGTGGTCCAGTGGTCCAGACCCCAAGCTTCCAATGCAAGGGGCCAGGGTTCAGTCCCTGGTCAGGAAATTGGATCCCATATGCTGCAACTGAGGATCCCATGTGCTACACCTGGGACCCAGCACAGCCAAGTAAATAATTTTTTTTTAAAAGTGATATATAGAAAATTTAAGTGTGTGAGAGTTCAGATGTTTCCCAGAAGTGACTGTGGTGTCCAGTGGCTGAGGTTGGGTAAGCATGAGCACTGTCTGCTGTGGGCACATCGATGTCTATGCTTTACACTTACCTCCCAAGTTGCTTGCAAACTCTTAGAAGGCAAGGATGTTTTCCTCTTCACTTCTCTTTCCTTTTATAATGTGATTTTTACCTTCTATTTTTATTTATTTATTTGTTTTTTTTTTTACCTTCTAATTTTATTACATTCATCAGCAAATACAGATCGGGGCATCTAACAGGCACTCAATAAATTCTTATAAATTGAGCGATTGATTGGTATCTACACTTTAGGTACCTACTATCTTCAGCCACTGTGATAGGTAATGAGGTTGAAAATGAATATGGTTAGGTCCCAGGCCTGAAAGAAGTTTACATAGTATAGTCAAGAGAGACAGAGAGGAAATCAGACACTGATTTGGGCCACAAAAGAGAGAGACTGCTCCTGCAGGCAAAGTTAGAGAAAAATGGATAGGATAGGTCCTACTGGGGAAGAGGAGGTTAGCTGAGGCTTTGAATATGCAGAGAAGCACAGCAAGGTGTATGGGGGTGGGGGAGAGTTGATAGGCAGAGGTTCCTTGCAAAGGAAACATTAGTGATTCTAAGGCTTTGGAGTCTGGGGAAAGGGAGGGATGAATTGGGAATTGGGAGTTAACAGATATACACTGCTGCTGCTGCTGCTAAGTCTCTTCAGTCGTGTCCGACTCTATGCGACCCCAGAGATGGCAGCCCACCAGGATCCCCCGTCCCTGGGATTCTCCAGGCAAGAACACTGGAGTGGGTTGCCATTTCCTTCTCAGATATACACTACTATATACAAATATTGTATTGGCTAAAGAGTTTGTTTGGGTTTTTCCATACTACCTTGCAGAAAAAATCCAAACAAACTTTTTGACCAACCCAATAGATAAACAATAGGACCTACTGTATATAGCACAGGGAACTATATTCAATATCTTATAGTAACTCATAATGGAAAAGAATCTGAAAAAGAATAGATATATGTGTTTATGTGTGTATGTATAACTGCATTATTTTGCTGTATACTTGAAACACTGCCAATCAACTATATTCAATAAGAAAACGTTTGGAGTTTGGTGTCAGTTGGAGGGTGTAGGGAAGAGGAATGGGGCTCTTGGCAGTGGGGAGCAGGCCCAAGAGGAGGACCTTGTACCATAGCTAAGGTGCTGGTGATGGGGACTCATTTAAAAGTTCTACAAATGGGGCTAGCCATTGCTCAGATTTTGGCATGAGGGAGATGGTTCTAGTGGCCATGTAGACAATGGTTGATCCAGGAGGCAGAAGGCCAGTTACAGGGTTCTTATATGAGGGTCCAAGAGAAAGATGGTGAGGCTGAGTGGGAGACAGAGATGAGACCACAGATATAGAAGGCAATTATCACCTTTCCTTGGCCTCCCTTCATGATCACTGTGATCTAACAGGGAGATGCAGGGAATAATAAATGTACTGCCTTCTGGAACCGGCTCCTCTGCCATCTGCCTGGGTCGGGTGTGTGTTTACCTTCTCACACCAGTTCGGTTCTCAGTCTACACCTCCCACTTGGGTCAGACCTCTAGGAAATTGCCGGTCACCTCTAATGTCATTTTCATTTTTTCCTTTTCCACCCCAAGTCAGGTAATAATATCCCTCCAAGGAACAAGGTCTGAGTGACTGTCTCATTTTTCTCCTGGCCTGCAGGCTGGCTGGCTGATGCCTGGCTTCTGAGAGATGACCAGCCAGCCTATTGCTCCCTCTGCCCCCTTCCCCCACCAGGCAGCTGACTCCCTTTGGAAAAGTTGCCTCACGTCAAGACCCATCAGCATAAGAGACTATTAATGAGGATGGGAAGAGACAGAGCAAAGAGGAAAATACCACAACAAGATAAAAACGGATCAATAGTGGAGCCAAACAGAGCATGAGGTACTGAAAGCAATTCACGAGCTGTCAACTTCTCAACAGACCCAGGGTTTCTGATAATCCCAGATGGACACAGAAAGGAGAGAGACAGACAAAAAACCGGAGTAGTGTTCCAAGGGAAACAAAAAAGGAGGCGTTACCCAGCCAAAATTCATCCTCCAGGTTCCCAAAGCCAACACGGTACTCAGCCCATTTCCGGAAAAAATCAGTTTGACCATTCTGCCGCCTCTGGAATACCTGTGAAGAAAGAGGGGGACAAATGAAAAAAAAAATGCTAAGGAAAATAAACTCCAATGAGTAAAACTGCTGTAACTGAGTTTTATATCTGCAGTGACAGACACTCAGGTAAGGACCACTGCAGTAGAGAGCTCGGTATTTGCACAGTGGTCATGGCAGGAGATGCTCGGAGCCCTTCTCTGAAGCACAGGAGCCCTTGATGAATAGGCTGGGGTGTGATGTTGACACTAATTTGCACCCCTGCAATGTAGAAAGGATTCAGGATACATATCAAACCGCTGATAGTCAAGGGAAATAGGCTAGGCTCTCAAATCCATCTTTTCACACCATGGCATACAGCAGAAAGCATTTTTCACCAGAAGAACAGGACCCATTTCAGATCAGCCAGTAATGTCATCATCTTATTTCAGGCAAAGCAAGTGTGTATCATTCACTTTCCGAGCTGTTTAAGTGATAATTTCATTTAACCTCCAATACATCAGCCTCGACTTCAACTTCCAATTATGCTTTAAGAAGAAGGCACAAATATGTCAGAAACATAAAAGAAAAACATCTCCCAAGAGTGACTGTTTTGAGCCCAGCCACCATTTGACTCCATTCAACAACTATCCATTTGGCACTGTGAAAAATCTAGCATGGTGTGTTGGTGCTGGAGGCAGGATCCTCAGGAGGAAGGGGGGTGGAGGGGTTGGGTTTCCATCTGCACTGACTCAGCTAATGCTGGGCTGCTTTCCGGCCAGGCTGCCAGAACTCCATCTGCATAGTGGCCTGCAGTGATGTGTGAGGCCATTCGCCAGGCTGCCCATTCTCTTCTCTCTGTATTGCCCTTATCGGACATGGGAGGAGGGTGATAGGAAATGGACTCTCTCTTTTCCTCACCACTTCTGCTCCCTGAAGACTATGGGGAAGAACTAGAGAGGTCAGGAAAGGATGGAGACAGGGGGTGGCCTTTGTAAATAGAGGTGGCGATCCACGTTCTATCCCTTAACTACTTTGCCATATGTGATTCTCCCATAGAAAGATAGTGATCACCTCCCCATAGAGACTTCCCTTCTCCTACGAGGGACTCATCTCCTCTATTTCTTTATCATAGCTGCAGTCTTCAGCAGGCAAGACCCCTGGGCCTCTCTGAGCTACTTCTCCCTTTCCCTGGCACCCTCCTGCATGAACTATCTCCCCAGAAGTAGTCATTTTCCTGGGTCCCCCTTTCTTGGCTGGACCACTGCAGCTTCATATTCCTTTTCCTTCCTCTGCCTGGTCAAACCTGTGATAGGGCTGCTGAACAAGGGCCCTGAGGATGATGCAGAGTTCCAGAGTGGACCTGTGGGGCGGGGGGAGTGGATGAAAAAATGGCCAAAGCATAGTGAAGTGTGGATGGATGGGTGCCGAGCCAGATGGATGGAAGCACCAAGGATGCTGGCGTGCCCAGAGAACAGCCATAGGTACTTACAATCCAGCCACCCCCATCGGTGGTCATGTCGCAGTACACCTGTAACTTCTGGCTTAGCTCTCCGTTGAGGAAGATGGTATAAACCCCACTCAGAGTGTCTCCATTCATCAAATGCTGGGCACAGTCTTGAGGATGAGGGAAGACCCGGCCCCCTGCACAGGAAAAGAGGCAGTTTGCATAGTGGGGTAGGGACCTCCCACTATGCATGAGAGCCCCTTGGACTGTAAAATGCTTTAGAGTCTGACAGTGCTTCATCAAGTGCGGTAAGGAGTCCTCACTGAATCTTCAACTGATGCTGGGTTTATCAGACAGTATACAGCTTTATGGGATGTGAAGACCAAAGAGCTGGGTTCACCGTGTGACGCCCCCACTTCCCCACTTGTTTAGCTTAGGCAAATAGCCTGACTTCCTGGCATCCATCTTCTCATCAGAAAGATGAGGATAATAAAAATATTCATCCAGCAAGGGTGAAGGTATGTTATTACAGAGAGTGATGGGTTACTTAGGCGATGATTACAGATACATGGGCCACAATAAATCACCACAGAGCCCACATCTCAAAAGAATGAGAGGGATTTAAGCACAGCCGTCCGCCATCTTCACAGCAGCCCATAAGAAATGCCCCAAACAGGCTTAGTATTAGCAAGAAGATGGATATCTATTTCTCCTGCAAAATAATCTCCTGATTGGACTAAACAATCAAATGGCAATGTTTTACAGTTCAGTTTAAGTTTAAGGAGAGGGCAGAGGAAATAAATTGCTGCTCATCTTTCAGAGAGAACAGCCCAATTTGTAGAACAATATCTAATTAGCTGAAAGCTTAAATCATGTGTCTTGAAGAGCTTGGCTTCAGGGCAGATTTTAATGCTCAACAGGCAAGCCAGAAAGCAGAGGTCCCACGGGAGGAGCTTTACTGGACTGCAGGAGCTGATGGAGCTAGTTAAAGGCAGAGCTTGCCATGGGAGGAAAAGTGGCTTGGGTGCCCTGTAAATATATGATCTCTGGGTCAATGGAAAGGGTGGTGCGCTGCTGTGGTTCTGCATCCTGCAAACTGTAGCAGAATCATGAAGAGAGGTGGGGTAGGGACCTCATGGGAACCTATAGCGGCCCCTAGTGGCAGAACCAGTGCACAGCACATATACCAGAGAGCCACTTGGAGAGGCAGCCAGTGGGCCAGAGCAAGCAGCAGCACAATGCCATTCAAGGGAGGTAACACAGCAACCTCAGTGAGACATCTGTGTTCGGAAGAGCTTCTGGTGGTTTGGTAGGCTTTATGCAAGCCCCCTCTTGGAGATGTTTTAACTCCTCCTGCATAAGGACTGTCCAGCGTGCTGCCACACCATGGACTAGATTCCCTTCCATTTAAGGTAGGGTAGAACAAGCCACCACCTGCTTCAGGCATGTTCCACCAGGGAATAACAATATATTCCTATAGAACTAGTACTTTACCAAGTGTGCACTTATTTCCATGTAATTCTTGCAAGAAGCGTGAGAGGAAGACATTGTTATAGATTGAAGACTTATTTTATAGAGAAGGAAACTAGCTCAGAAAGATCATGTGACTTCCTCTGTTCACTTGAACTTAGGTTTTCAGACTCCAGGTCAAGTGCTCCTTACACTACTAAAATGGGGACTATACCCTATGATACAGGTAACTGGATCTACATCTACTCAGACAGCAAATGATTAACGAACATCATATGGGCCTCCAAGGTGGCACAGTGGTAAAGAATCTGCCTGCCAAGCAGGAGACTCAGGTTCAATCCCTGGGCGGGGAAGATCCCCTGGGGAAAGGGAATGGCAACCCACTCCAGTATCCTTGTCTGGGAAATCCCATGGACAGAAGAACCTGGTGGGCTACAGTCCATGGGGTCGCAAGAGTCAGACTTGACTTAGAAACTAAATAACAAAAAATATTTATCTTATAAGCAAAGAAGGCCCCAAAGATTAAAGTTACCTCAAAGTTCTTTGTTCACATTAAATATCTTAACCCTCCAAAATGTATTTCCTTAATAGCTATAGAAAAGCTCTCAACTTGCATCTCCAGCCTGTCCAAGAGCTCGTTAGAGTACCTGTTCCCACCTGTTTCTAGAGGGTTCAGTTACATTTCAGGGGCAGGTGTGAGTGAGCACCTCACCGCCCCCCCGCCCCCCGACACCTTGGGAGCACAGTGATATTTTCTGGCTTCCAGAATATTCTCCAGCTGGTCTTTAGAGCAACTGGCTTGTCTGCCTTCCTTTTTCCTTTCTTTTCTCACTGCTTGAGTTTCTCATTTTAGATCAAGATAAAACATGCTTGTCTTCAGCTCACTTCTACCTTACGCACTAATAGCCCTTTCCCCTGAATCTGCCTCAGTTCCTTAAAGGGCCAGAACCCCACATTTCTTCCCAATACACATATAACACCAGGCCAAACTTTAGAACAGACAAATAAATGATCTTATACAGGTTCCTTCACATTGATAATGTTGATTATTTAATATTTCTGTTATAGATCCTTTCAAAGGCTCAAAGATATTAGTTGTTTTAAAGGTAGAACTACCAAAAACAAACATAAGACAATGAGATAACTTGTTCTGGAGGAGAGAAGCTTTTACGTATCTAAAAGGCTGTCATATAAAAAAGGGATGCATTTTTATAAAGTCAGAAAACAGGAATAAAATAAAATTAAGAAAAAAGTGGACCTAAGGAGTGTCCTGGGTTGGGAAGATCCCCTGGAGAAAGGATAGGCTACCCACTCCAATATTCTTGGGCTTCCCTTGTGGCTCAGCTGGTAAAGAATCCGCCTGTAATTCCAGAGACCTAGGTTCGATCCCTGAGTTGGGAAGATCCCCTGGGGAAAGGAAAGGCTACCCACTCTAGTATTCTGGCCTGGAAAATACCATAGACTGTATAGTCTATGGGGTCGCAAAGAATCAGACACGACTGAGTGACTTTCACTTTTCCTTTCAAGGTGGTATAAGGTTGTATGGAATGAAGGTTCCTGACTGCACCCTGCGAGAGGAAGGGACATGTTCTCTTCCTTCTGGGCCCCCACATTGGATTGGTTAGTGGAGGCACCCACCAAACTGCACATGGTTGGTGATGCATGTTTGGGCTGATGCATAGTTGCTGGGTGTACTTGCCTTACCTTTGACAAATGGGAAGTCCACCTTGTGGCTTAGAGATTCCACTTACTATAATTTAGCCTATAGCATTAGTGAAAAGACAATAAAAAGCATTTTGCTTATACAGACTATCTGGGGCAGCAATATTCACATCTTGGGAGCTTGGAGGAGACATTTACTGTGAAACCACTCCTCTCCAGGCTACTCTAGCTCTCAAGACTGTCAAAGTTTTACCTCCCACCACCAGTCCATGATCAAATTATTATTCCTTTTCACCTGTTGAGAGGAAGCAGGCTCACTAATTGTTTCCAAACCAGAGACTATTAAAATTGAGCTCCTTGGGCTCTGCAGCAGATCTGCTTAATCAGAATGCTGGAGGGGTGGAGGGGGGGTGGGGGGTGTCAGGAATCAGTATTTAAATAAAGCTCTTCAGATGAGCCTGGAGACCAGCTGGATTTGAACTCCACTGTTCCTCTAGTATGTTTTCCTCTTCTTAAAGAGTCCAAAGGTAAAACTGGTTAGCTAGACTGTGCTCTAAGGAGTGCAATGATCTGCTTTCTCTGCTGAGATCCACATGGCAGAGTGGATAAACAGATTGAGTGTCTGTCTCTCTCTCACCCTAGCTCCCTTCTTTCCTTCTTTTCTTTCCCATTTTCCTTTTCCTTCTCTCTCTTTTTCCCAGTGGGCATATCTTGAGTAGGCTGGTCCCAAGATGTGTAGATTGAGCAAGAGGGGATAAGAGACTCTAATTATCCTTGAGCTTAAGCCTCATGTCCCAGTTTTTACCATTAAATTCTCCTGTGGGGTTATTGGGCTCTGGTTTAGTTAATAATATATAATACACTGGTTCCCAGTGTGCTTTGTTCATTGCGTGTACACTGTGGCTTCATATGTTTTTAGGAGATAGAGCATTTTGGGGGCATCCCTAGCTTTCTGAATGATATACATCTAAAATACCAAAAACTCACCTTTAATCCTAACGTAGATCATCCCAGTAGTTTTTCCAAGGCAGAAATTTTAGGATGAAGACCCCAACTGGAAGCCTTTCCCTCTCTTCCCCTTTGATACAATTACTAGGACCTGGCCTGACAAAGAGGCTTTTTTTTTTCTTTTTCTTTCTTTCTTTTTTTTAAAAGCACAGGCTGTGGTGATCACCAAGTTAAGAGGAAAGCAATGCCCAGCGATCGGTACACTGAAATGTCTTACAGCTAAGTGTTTCTAGATGTAATTGGGAGATCAACAGGGTTGGGGGCATTTACTGGAAGAATGGCTCAGAAATTGGTTTCTGTTGGGCATCTGGAGGCTGAATGCCGAGCAGAGGGAAGTGAGCTATGTGATAAACAGTGCAAACAGAGAGCCTCCAGTCAGCTGGGAGTGAGGGGAGAGACTGTCCCTGCTCTGTTCCTTACGTGCCTTGTGTTATTGAATGTGGTCTTTAAAATGGTCAGAGTTAATGGCTTTGGAGAGTGTCTGCCCAATCTAATGGCCTTAGCATCAGAATTGAACTATGATATTAGTATTTATCTCTGAGAACAACCTCAGCAAGTCTCTGCAACTGCAGAAAAAAGGTGTTGTTTCATATTAGCACAGGTGAGACCACCTCTGGCCACCCACCCTTACACCTTTTTCTCAGAAGTGGGTTTGTGGGTAGCAAAGTTTGGGGAACCAGCCTGAGGCTGTGGACAGGGAAGAGTTATCTGTTTAGCTCACATGGGCTGTCAAACCTACCACCTCGGCCTCCTTCACAGTGTCTTCCAATTGATTTATGTGTTTCTTCTTTTGTGTATTCATTCAGCAAACATATAGGAAGTGTCTATTGGGTTCTAAATATTGGCATAAGAGATTAAAATATAGGGAAGAAAAAGACACAGTCTTATTTTTCAGGTTGCTCACACTCTGGTGGGAGAAACAAACAAACATAACCCCAAGTTTTGAGTACTCTGGAGAAGAGATAAATAGGAGTATGTTAAGGCTGTATATTGTCACCTTGTTTATTTAACCTATATGCAGAGTACATCATGCAAAATGCCAGACTGGATGAAGCAC